ACCTGCTTGAGACTCAAGTCCAGAGGAATTACATCACTATCTCTCTCAAATCTAAGGTCTACTTAACTGACTCCAAACACAAAATGTGGAGACAATTCAATAAGCCCTTTACAAATATTCCGATATGAACTTTTTTCCCCACAGATCTGAGCACTGGTTGAAAGGAGAATTACAAAAACACTTTTGCTGAGGCGACTGGTGCCTGAACTGTGTCAAACTCCTTTACAGAAAAAATAAAATTTGCTTCTAAACTCAAAACTCGTGACTTCTGAACTTAACATTTTGCTCAGATTCTTCTGAACTGAAAACAAAGCTCTATGTTTACACTATATGTAGTGAGCACAACAGCATAAACATCTTTCCATTAATACCACAAGGGTCCACAGTAATCTGCTGAAAAAACATTGGATTTAAAGCACTGTACCGGAAGGACTCAACATTTAAGAAACTGTTCTCATAATAATCAACATCTGCCTCTATTTTGAAATTGAAATTTCAAACACGACACACAAATATACATCTTTTGTCACAGGATTATAACGAAATCAAAAAGTCAGCAAATGAGATCTGTTGTTTCAGAAAGAGGTGACAGAAGCAAACCAAGTATCATGAACATAGAACAGTACAGCACAGTACAGGCCTTTCGGCCCACAATGTTGTGTCGAACTTTTACCCTAATCCTAAGGTCTATCTAACCTCCACCCCTACCTTATACTATCATCCATATGCCTATCTAATAGCCACTTAAATGTCTCTAATGAGGCCGACTCCACTACCCACTCTGGCAATGCATTCCACGCCCCTACCACTCTGAGTAAAGAACGTATCACTGACGTCTCCCCTATATCTACCTCCACTCACTTTAAAACTATGCTCCCTTGTAATAGCTACCTCCACCCTAGGAAAAAGTCTCTGGCTGTCCACTCTATCTACACCTCTGATAATTTTGTACACCTCAATCAAGTCACCTCTCATCCTTCGTCCTTCTAAAGAGAAAAGCCCTAGCTCTCTCAACCTTTCCTCGCAAGACCTTCCCTCTATTCCAGGCAACATCCTGGTAAATCTCCTCTGCACCTTTTCCAACGCCTCCACATGTTTCCTGTAATGAGGTGACCAGGACTGGACACAATACTCCAGATGTAGCCAAACCAGGCTTTTGTATAGCTGGAGGATAACTTCACAGCTCTTGAACTCAGTCCTTCTATTAATGAAAGCTAACACACCATACGCCTTCTTAACAACTCTATCCACCTGGGTGGCAGCTTTCAGGGAACTGTGAACATGAACCCCAAGATCCCGCTGCTCCTCCACACTGCCAAGAATCTTTCCGTTAACCCTGTATTCTGCTTTCAAGTTTGTCCTTCCAAAATGAATCACCTCACACTTTTCAGGGTTAAGTTCCATCTGCCTTGAACCTTGAAACTCAGTCTCTGCCGTCACTACAGTAATCTAATCCTGGTCACCATGTTTCAAGAAGCATGAAGGCTGATGAGAGGTCGCAGAAGAGATTACCAGACCATAAAGGGTTTGAAGAATTTTCCTAAAAAGTTAAGATGAGAATTTTAATATTGTTCTCTTTCAAAAAGGTGGTTGAAGGGAGATTCCACAGGATTAAGGTCTAATTTAGCTGAGGTGCACAAAACTTTGCTGCATCGTACAAGGATTAGAGAGGACAGTTAAAATTTCAGAAAGATGTAGGGAGATGGTGAGAATTCTTTATTTACACCAAATTGGATGGATACAGGAATACAGCAAGATGACACTGACCAGAACGCTCTATGGAAAGCCAGCAATCTAGTAGAGACAAGTACCTGCTTTGTGTGCTGAAATAATGAATAACTTTAGATCCAAAGTTTCATCACATCATTATGTCCAGTTAAACAGTAGTAGTAATAGTAGTTTAGCGAGTGCCAATGACTGCTTGAGAATTTTTATTTTCATCCCTTCATGAGATGTGGGTATTACTGGCTAGTCCAGCATTTATTGCCCATCCCCAGAGGACAGATAAGAGTTAAACATATTGCTGAGGGTCTAGTATCACATGTAGGCCAGACTGGGTAAAGACATCAGATTCTTGCCTAAAGGACATTAGTGAGCCTGATGGATTTTTATGACAACCAGCAGTGGTTAGATAGTCACCACAAGGCTAACTTGTTCCAAATTTTCATTGAATTCACATGTCACCATCTGCCATGGTGGGATTTAAACCTACGTCCCCAGAAATATTAGCCTAGGGTTCTGGATTACCAGTCAAGTGATTCATAAAATTATGTATTCATGAAATATTAGATTCAAGTGGTACAGAAAAATTGGGAACAGAAACTATAGGAATATACCACAAAGCCATAACTTTCAATTGATTTCACAGCTAGAAGCATATCATATAGCTGCAATCCAGCTGTGAGTGTGGGCTTCTGATGCTAATCAAAATATACAAGCTTACCTTTGAAGAACTTTCCTTCCAAACTGCCAGTCCCAAATGTTTCAGTTGAAGCAATCTAGCACAGTCCAGGATTGTGCAGCAAAATGGATCAGCATTGAAATACTCCATTGACAACTCAACCATATTTCAGAATTCAAATGTTCTTGATCCACTTTCACAGCTGCTAAAAAGGTAAGCGAGGTGCTTGGGGAGCAGGTGGTTGGTTGACAAATGGCCGAGTGCTTAGGTTAGCAAGGGTGGAGAGGCTTTGGGCTCCAGAGATATGGTCAGGGTAATCGTAGGAGAAATCCAAGGGATGGGCGTGGGAGTCAGCGAGGTGTCACTTAAATTGTCCAATTACAGTGGGTTTTTAATTCCTCTGGTTTTTCATGGATAACTACCAAGCAAAGGCTGTTAGAAGCCTCCAATTCTAACTCAGTTGAGGACTTTACAAAGGGCTCCAAAAACTGACTAACTGCCTATATTAGACATCTCAAATTCCTGAGCAATTTTCACTGTCAGGAGTTTTGCATGATGCTCATGTTCAATTCCAATCTATGCTGTAGCAACCACCACCACCTTATCAGAAGTTTTAGGCCACTGTTTGCAATAATGTGAAAAATAGAAATTTTCACTTAAGAACTACCAATTATGACTGTACCAAGTACAGCCTACCCTATGCGGAGATTTTATAAGTCATCCACATTTGACTTCACATCAGGAGACAGGGTAGATAGAGATTGTTTCCTCCTTGTGGGAGCGTCAAGTATCAGAGGACATAATTTCAGAGTGAGGAGTCTCCCTTTCCTGGGACGGCTGGACTGATGTATGAAGAGACTGGATTGGTTACCAATGATATTCACTGGCATTTGGATAAATGAGGGGAGAGTATTAAAAACCTATAAAATTATAACAGAACTAGACACAGTAAACAAGGATGTGCCTGATAACTAGGGAGCCCAGAACCAGGGATCAGTTTAAGGATATGGCGTACGCTAGTTAGGACTGAGATGAGATGAAATTTCTTCGCCTAGACAGTGGTGAGCCTGTGAAATTCACTGCCACAAAACAGATGATTTAATATTTAAGAAGTTCAATACAGTTATGGCTAAAGGGATCAAAACAGGAAACAGAGGACTGAGATAGATGATCAGCCATGATTTCATTGAATGGCACAGCAAACTTGAAATGCCAAAAAGACTACTCTTGAGCCTAGTTTTTACGTTAAGGCAGAAATGAGGAATTTTGAGGGTGAAGCATCTGTGAAATTCTTTACTATAAAGAGCAGTCGAGACTGAAGGACTAATTACATACAAGGCCGAGGTAGGCAGATTTCTAATCATTAAGGGAATCAAGGATTGAGGATAAAGCAGGAGAGTGGAGTTGAGTCTATCAGATCAGCCATTCTCGTTGAATGGTGGAGCACACTTAACAGGCTGAATGGCCAACTCCTACTTCTATATTGTATGGTTTTATATTCCAACAGGTGCAAACCTACAACTTAGAACCTTATTTTGGAAATAAAGCAGCAATGCACTGAAAAATTGATCTAACAAATTATCAACTCAATTATTACTGCTCCATTGCATTTTGAACTCTGCAACAGACCAGAATTTAAAATTCTAGTTGTTGAACCAGGTTGAAGAATAAGAGAGTCACCTGAAAAGCGAATTACACGACATTTGGGACAGTTCAGCGGTAACATTCTTGACCAAAGTCAGAAGATTGTAAGTCCAAAGCACTGACCATACAATTCAGGATGTCACTTCAGTGCTGAGGGAGCTCAGTACGTGCCTTTTGCATGAACTTTTTTAAAGTGTGAGCGTATACGCACATAAAACACTCATTTTACTAATCTCCTGCACTAATTAAGAAGATTGCACTTTCAAGTTGCATCCCAGAACAGCACAAAATTTAACCTGACACTGAGAACTGAAGAAGTGCTGCATTGGCAGTTGTTTTCTTTGAGATTAGCTATTAAACCAAGAGCTTGTCTGTAACCCCAGATGGACCTGAAAGATCCTTCAGCTCTATTGTGAAAACCAAGTGACTGCTCTCTGGTGCTCGAGCCAATACTTATTCAACATCACAAAAATAGAATCTGGTCTTTTCCAAATTTTCTTTGAGAGACATGTATAATTTTGCTGCATGTTTTCTTCAGTGGTAACTTCAAATTTGCTATTTGCTTTAACAGACACCTTGATATTGTGAAAGATGCAATGTAAATCCAAGTCTTTGCTTCCATGTGATGACCTGATCAACATTTATACCTCAATCTTACAGTATATCTATAAGCTTATGTCACCAGCATCAGGACTATGCTGGATAAAAATGGTTTATGCTTGTCTACATTATATATGTTAGTTGTTTGCTGTGGAAATGCATCATAAGTGTCTTTATTGTGTGGAAAAAAACTAACATTTTCCTCAATTTGTAATAACGTTTATAAAAAATTTTCCAGATAAGCTGTGCATCAATGCATCATTTCTACACTACTTATTGCTAATTTCAGAAATGTGCACGCAATTTACAGGCTACTTTGCCCACAGGATGTAATGAGAATACAAAAAAGACAGACTCTTTTTTTGATAAAGCATGTATTGAAAATAATCAAATATAAACACATTGTATAAGAATACTTACAAAGTATTTAGTACAAAAGTTTATTTGTCAAATACTTGTCACTCTTCAAGTTTTCCTTAAACCATAAAATAAATAAATTCTCACAAAACAAGATTGCACATAAATTGACCAGCCTCAAGAACTGATGCACTGGCATGCATAAATTTTAGTGTTCCAACTTTTCCACTGCAGTAGATTTTGTCTTCAAGTATGTTAATACATAAAACAAAGAGTCTCTGCAGCAGCAAGTCCACCACACTGAACATGAGAAAGGGTATTATGCAACCCCTCCTGGAATCTTCACCTGGCAAAGCAGTCACTTTGGACTTTCTACCAAGGCAATAACACTTTTTTTCTGTGAAACCTGCTGCTTTTGAACCTGTAATAAAAAATCTCAAACAGAAGTTTAACAAGGGAGGGGGGAAGAAAAGAAAACAAAAGAATTGAAACTGCCTTATTCATGTGCATAGAACTGCACTAAAATTTAGCCAATTTTACATGCAGCAGTTTGTATAAAGACTAAAGACACACGACATTTAAAAAATAATTCATCATTCTGAGGTACCATACTTACGGACGTGATGTTACGACAATCTGACAGGGCCCAGAGGCCAAGTAGGAGTTCATTGATCTTGTTTTGGGTCACTGGTTCGTAAGCTCCAAGATTTTTGACCACGTAGAGAAGAAAGCCGTTGGGAAGGACATGTGGATCTCCACAGATTATTATCTGCATTTGCAGATATCAGCTACAGACCAGCCAAGTCTTGACGAGCCACCTCTTTTACGTAGGGGGACCAGGAAACATTTTTACGCTCTGTAATCATTGCCCTCTGTTCTGGGAAGGGCTTAAATTTAAGAGCTCATCTAAGCTGACGCCAATCTCCTGACACCTGGTAACTAGTTTTCTGAGATTATCAGTTTTACCTCCTTCTGAAGCTTCAAACAAGAGTTGCTGAAAGAGATAGGGGAAGCACTTAAGTAAGACCTAGCCACCAATTAAAAATTACCTTGTCACTGGAAAAGGCTGCTTTTACAACAATGTATTTTTTTTTTAATCATTCATGGAATGTCTGCACTGGCTAGGCCAGCAGTTATTGCCCATTCCCAATTGCAAACTAGATCAGAGCTCAAATACCTAAAATCATTGCTGTACAAAATCTAAAAATATAGAAAATAAAAATCAAAGGAAAATGTAATGGGAAACTTTACATCTTTCCAGAGCGTTGCACAAAGGGGTAACTTCTTAAGTGCTCGCTGGTAAAGCTGCCGAACCTGAAAAATAGCAAATAGCAAGTGGGAGCACTTGTGTGGAGATACTAGTGGGAAACAATAGTACAGAACTGCTACACAGCCAGAATTATTAAATTAGAAAAGACTCACTAAGTGAATCTGTGAGCAAAGCCATCATTTAAAACAAGGAAAAAATATACACAGTACTGTGTACATAGAGCAAAGGATGTAGAAAGAGGGCTGGAAAGTTGCTGTGAAGTCCACGATAAGGCACAGTTGTACTGAATGCTGGAATAGACTCAACAGGCTGTATGATCTACTTCAGTTGTTACAGCAAAGAGCATTGGCAAATTACATTACTATCATTCAATCAAAACTTGAAATATCAAAACTAATTTTTTGAATCAGGATGACAAGATTGCCCAGAATGCAGTCTGCTACACAGAGGTCAAATTATTATAATTGTGCATAACTTCAAATTGTAAGTTAAAAGAAATTGTGTGGAAGAGCACCAAAATGCGAAACACATGCACTTACCTCATTTTGGTGGTCCTTTAACATGCTTTCAACAGCTATGGCTCTAAAGCAAAGAGAAACAAAAACAAGGTCAATAGTATTTTGAGACTTCTGGATGCTACCATAAAACGTTAGAAAGCACCACACATTAGTATACAGAGGGATCAAAAGAACTTTCTTCACAGGTTTAATTTAATAGCTATGATTGTAAAAGTATAGAGGGAGACTTAGACTCGGAATATCAATTTCATAAAAGGTACAAAAATGAACTAATTGCTCATTCAGTAAATCTGTCGTTAAACAAAGTGGATCGATTGACAAGGTGTAGAGCTGGATGAACACAGCAGGCCAAGCAGCATCATAGGAGCAGGAAGGCTGACGTTTCGGGCCTAGGCCCTTTTCTGATGCTGCTTGGGCTGCTGTGTTCATCCAGCTCTACACCTTGTTATCTCAGATTCTCCAGCATCTGCAGTTCCTACTATCCCAGATCAATTGACAACCCAATTTCAGACTTGATTATTTGACAACTGAGTAAAATCTTCCCAAAGGTATCAAGCAATTTACTCAAATAAAAATCAGACAAAAATAAGCAAACATCAATAAGGTTTTAAACAGTTAAAACAACATTCTATAAATCAGTAATAATAGAACAAATAAAATCCTGATATTACATTTTCCAAATTGGCAGACAGATTGGCAAAGAATGTGTAAACATATTTGATTGTAGTTTGAGGTGCTGGATATTACCCTCCGTCCATTCCTGTTCCAGTACTCTGTAGGGAGAAAACAACAAGCAAGTTGAAACAAACACATACATTATGAATTAGTTTGCATATCTTGGCAAACTGTACAAAGCAAAAGAATCAACATGTTCAACAAGACATTTTTAACTGCAGAATTAATATTTTTACCTTAGTGCTAGTCCAACATTAGTTGGCATAATGGAAGGGAACCTTTCCAATGCTTTGCAATGCTGGGATTGAGGAAGGCAGCTTAGATAAAAGGAAATCACCTGAAAAAGAGTTAGATTCAGTTCATTTAAGTTAAATAACTCTTCCAAAGAAATTGTGTAAACCAGTCAAACAAGCACCACTGGAGACCTTACATATTAATGCCAAATTCAAATGCTTCAAAGTTTCACATCAAACTTTAAACAGGTAGAAGCTTCCAGCTAAGGAACGCTATAGAGAGAGAATAAAATATATGGCATACAAGTGTCACGTAAATATTAATGTCAGTAAATGTTCAGGCTTTAATGGCCAGAATTTCTTAACAATAAGGCTTCCTATGAGTGTAAATATAACAAACATACAACGAAGTCACGAGAAATTAAACATTAAAAAAAAGGAGAATGCTTTCAGAGCTCCTCAGTTGCTCCGTTACTTCCATTCTATTAGTATAGATATCAAGAGTCTCAGCGTTCAAATACATGCAACATTAAATTGTTGTAGTCGCTCAATAGATAATCAAACTTGTCAGAAAAGACTAATTTGTTCAAGCCAAAGTGAATTTTAAAAAGGAGTGGTAAATTTAATTTAGGGATGGGCAATAATAAGTGCTGCCTGGTCAGCGACACCCTCATCCCATTAATGAATAAAGGAATTATCAGCAAATCACTGCCCTGGTGCAGAAACGTTTATTTAAGCATGCATGACATCTCATTTCTCATTTTAATTATTATTCAGTAGTTTCAAAACTTCAGAGATCATAACTTTTCCTCTCCAAATTACCCTTTTCTTTTTGTCTCTATTTCACTTAATGCATTATTTGTTATAGCACTGACTATTTCTAACTTAGACTTCCTGCATCAGATTCTGCACAGTTCAGCAAAGACTCGTCAATCTGTCAGAAGAGGAAAACAGTAATTGGGAAGCAAACCTTCACTGAAGCTATGCAACACAGATTATGCACTTGTAAACTGAAAACAGGAAGGCAAGTAATCATCTTAATGTTGACAGATCGACAAAAGAGGGTGATACAAAGTATGCGTAAACCAGCTGCTGAAAGCAAGCATACAGGTGCAGCAGACACCGATGACTACAAATGGTATACTGGCCTTCATTACAAGAGGTTTAGAGTATCGAGCAGAAATGTCAAGCTGCAATTGTACAGAGCTTTGTGAGATCACTAGAGAATTTTATGTAGTTTTGGTCTCATCTGTCTAAGAAGGAAGTGTGAAGGATTGTTTTTGTTCGATTCCTGATCCAGACTGACTCTTGGGATGACCGAATTGCCGTGAAGACAGACAGACTGGTAAGGACAACTTCCACTTGAGTGTGGAAGAATGAGGAGGAATCTCAGAAACCTGTAAAATTCTAACAGGACTGGACAGGATAAATGCAGGAAGGATGTCCCTGATGACTGGCAAGCCCAGAGCCAGTGGTCAAGTCTAAGGACATGGGGCAGTCCATTTAGTATTCAGATGAGAAAAAATTTCTTCATCCAGCGAGTGATGAGCCTGTGGAAATCTCTGCCACAGAAAGCATTTGAGGACTACACATTTAATGTTTTCCAGAAGGAGTTATAGCTCTTCGGGCTAAATGGTTGGAGGAAAAAGCCGGGACAGGATACGAAGTTGTATGATCAGCTGTAACACTAAACGGCAGAGCAGGCTCGAAGAGCTGAATGGCCTATTTTCTAATACTGATACTCAAAAGCAGTACATCTCGGAAAGCAGGAGAATCTATCAATCCAAGGTTGAAGATTAAGTTGAGCACTGGACTGCTAAATGCACCCATGAAAAGTTAGGTTCAACAAGCACTTTTGAGCATTATAATGGGCATTCCACTTGGAATGGGATGACACATGCCTACAATTAGTCTAATTTGCAAATATTCTTCTCAAGCACGAATCATTGTTTAGTGAGAGGGTGTCCCTAGCTTGAAAGCTACATGCTGAATGTTCATAAAACCAGAGTTTCCAGAAGAAAAATCTCACCTACTTAGCCACAGAAGCAGTCTTCAGCCAGATTATAGGCTAACTTTCTTATTAAGGCATCACAGGAGATTTCCCTATATTCTTCTAGAAACATAATCATTACATTGCTACACTGCGAGTTGAGTACCATGCTGGTGAATTTCAAGCAAAATTCTCAGTATGAAAAGCCCTCCATGCATGACCTATTCAATCAATAACAGTACTGGCAATAAATACTTGCTGGTGGTTTCCAATAGCACAAGAGTACTGGCATCATTTCCAGAGGGGTTGCCATGAGCGGCAAACATCTTCTCTCAAACACCGAGAAAAGAGAACAGGTCGATGTTTGCGGTTCACTAGAATATAAATAGAACACGAGGCAGATAGACAGTAAACTTGAACAGGGAATACTTTTGTACACCTTCTCAGTTCCACAGTTGGTTTTCGTCTGCCTCCCCTAGCTCCTGCACCAGGTCACCTGACCCACTATCAAAAGGGGCAACACCAACTACACATGTAAGCGTACACTGGAAAGATATGGATCCTGAACTTGCCCCCTCAATCGGAAAGGAACAGGACCAATATTTTTCCCAGTTTCTTCTTTCTTTCCAATTTCTCACCTGCTACTAGAGCATCTACTGACTTTCAGCAATGCCAACCTTTAAATGAGATACTAAACAGAAGTCCCACCTGGATGTTAAAAGAGCCTGACCCAAGTGTGCATGGATTTCTTGAATTTCACAGCACTATTCAAGAAAGTGCAGAGCGCTTTCCGAACTAACAGTCATGCTTAATTAAACCCAGGCACAGGTTAAATCATTGTTGCTTGTGGAGCATTGCGAGAAAAATGGCTTGAACTTTCATCTACGTAAAATTACTGCACAATGCAATTTAGCCCATGTGAAGCTGTATTTGAGTATGGAAAAGGATTCTGAAGGGTCATGAACTCAAAATGTTAGCCAGACCTGAGTTTCTCAAGCAATTTCTGTTCTTGTTTCAGAATTTCAGCATCTGCAATTTTGTTTTGTTAGGAAAGAGTGTTACTTTCCTTCTGAAGACACTGATTTTGAGAGGGCTTACCGTTCTTAATGTAGCAGCCTCCACCTCTGCCACTATTCTGATGCCTCAGTCAAGCTATATTAAATTAGCCTCAGACAATGAGCACTGAGCAACTACCCCAGCTATAACAACTGAGCTCAACGCTATCCTTACTGATGTGCACTTTTAATCGGCGACAAGGTGCCAGAGCTCGACAACTGTACGCCAAGTAATTAATTGCTGAATTTCTCTGCTAATAGCAGACACATTTCTCCCCCCAACCAACCTACCTTATATTTGAATAAATGGGAGTTCCAAACTTACACCAACACTCCAACTCATGCATTGTTTTTTTCCCATTAGACTGTCACCTGCTGAGATTTGCAAATTGGATCCTCCAGCGAGATGAAGACAGATCAAATATTACACAATTCATCATTTAAAATATCTCCTAGTTTAACCTAATGCTTAATTGAGACTGCGTTGCTGAATGTAACACCAACTATTTCAGTTGTCTCAACATGCTGACACTTCACAACATTAACTTTAGCACAGCTATAACTTTATAATGGGAAAATTCCATTTGAACTGCACTTGTAATATTTTGGTTCTGCTTACTGTACCAGGAGACACTAAATCTCAACACATGAAAAAATAAAACCCATTAGAGTAGATAGCTAATATTAAAAAAAAATCCCATCTGATTATGGCAAAAGTAAAATCAAGTTAGGTGGTTTCTCAAAGTTGAGAAAGGGATGACTCCTAACAGCGTCAGAAAGACTTGTGCTCAACATTCTACCAGCACTACTTAATTACTAATAAATAGGTCTTTCCACCAATTTTGTTCCCTTAAGAATTCACTCTTTCCTGATTCAAATATTTTCTAATCAACCTGTTCAGATGTTATCATGCACCTCTGAAGCAGGTGGGACTTGAACCCGGGCCTCCTGGCCAGTCTGCACTGACCCCCATAACAGAATCCTAACCAGACCCAGCATCGAACTCTATCCCCAAAACCCTACATTTACCATGGCCAACCCACCTAACCTACACACCCTGTGGCACTATGGGGCAATTTACTGCCAATCTACCTAACCTGCACATCTTTGGACTACCACAATAGCCCCACTTTCCTGATTCATGCGAATATCTTTACCACCTGTGACATAGCCACGTAACCATTTCTCAGGAATATCCAGACTGAGAGGACACAAGCAATTCCAGAAATCTCTCAGGTGAGCTTGAGCCCACCTCAAACACATTCAATGAGTCAGGATAAATGGACAAGACGTAACACAAACTCAGATGTCCACATTCCTAGTCTAGGAGTGTCAAGACCATTTAAAGCTCTCTACCAGCCCTCTGGCTAAAATCAGCTAATTTAAAGCAAGTACAGGATCAAATCATGACTCTGGCGCAGCCTTAACCAAGTGACCCATCAGGGAAAAAACAAATTACTCAAACAAAATAGAGCTCTTTCTTGGACTGGCAGGACCACATGCTTATGTAACCATAGTTATTGGAAACTGGAAATAAAGGAAAAAAAATCTATCACCTGATTATGAAACTCGTAGTTGCTCCAATAATTGGCAGAACTGAATGGTATAAGCATTCTTGTGGGGACAGTGACCAAACACCTATGCACCAAGTCTGTAAACAGTTTAAAGTCTTGGTTCTTGTTCGTGGCACCAACAAGCTGCCTACTGGTAAAAACAAGGTAACTGCAGAAAAAAACATCCATCATTATTAGTACTTTGGAAACAACAGTTGTTAAAGACATTAATTCCACAGATAGTGATATCACTATAAGATTAGAATTATTTTTATTTCCTTTTGCATGTTGTACTTACTCCATCCAGATTTGTTGCACTACATCATTCTGCATAACTGTACCAAGAGCTGTTTCAAAGGTGTCCACAGCTTCCCTTGTGCCTGCATTAATGGACTGCCACAAGCTACATATTTTTGAAGGTAGAACATAAAAAAAGGAAAATTAAAGGCTGGCTATGGGATAGGATTGCTCATTTCACAGTCATGCAGTAATTTTCTTTCACTGAAGTTCAACAACACATACATTTATCAGTATTAATAGGAGAGTCTTGTCAAAGCCATTACTCTCTAGCAGATAAAGACTTGTTCAAATTTTAGTATTTTGCTCAAGATTAAATTCATCTGCAAGATTTCTTACCAGAATATCAACCATAGATAAGGGATCTGGGTGTTCAGCAGCTCCCCATTCAATAGTTCTTTGCATGAAGGTGCTCTGAAGTCATAAGGCATGGGATAGTTCAGGAACTGACTGATAAAAAGAATGAAAGCCCTTCAAACATTTTAAAAACACCTCTTTCAACAACACAAAGTGGAACCAACCAGAATCCAAGAACAGCAAAGTGAAAGGCTTAACCAGATAATTTACTAGACTGTTGCATGATCCCAGGAAGCCTTCCTGTCAATTAATACATTATTTTTAGTTTTAAAAATCAGTGGTGGAGCATCAAACAATAAAATTCACTATAGGTTCAATTCGGGTGTTTAAATTACACCAAGCTCTCCAGGTCCTGAACCAAGACTGCAAATATTTTTTGGGAAAAAGATTGTGCGTGTTTCGGAATGTCATAAAAAGGTGACTAATACATTCCAGCATAATGCAAATGGCAGTTAAAATATCATTCAACATCTACCTTCCCAGAATGTCAAGAAAATGCAACTTTCTGGAAGCATTTTTCAGGCTTTAACATGTTCAATTTCAGATATTCACACTTCATTTTCTAATTTATTCAAATTTGTTCAACATAGAAATAATTTTTAAACTATGTGAAATATTCCAAATCTTTTCTCTCAAATTCATTCCAAATAAAATCAATAAAGGTATGGACACAGTTTGGATGAAGAATTGCCACAGGCACCATACTGTTGTACATACATTCTAGGTCAACGAATGCCTGCAATATTGACATTTTCTTATAGTAATTTGTCCTGATTTCTGACATTTCCAGCTACACAAAGGAAAACAAAACTGACAAAAAAGACACACACTAATATATTAAGAAAAGAGACTACCCTCAGGATCCGCTGTCTGAACCTTCATCTTAAAAGACTGCAAAGTATTTAAACTACAAAAGTGGAACTTGAAAATACAGGAGGGTCCAAACAAAAAGCAGGAAAAAAATGGAGCTCAAGCTACATTTCAAGATCAAAGACCCTTCAATGAAGAATGCGGCAAATCTGGATAGAATAAATATACATTAGCGAGGATAACTGACAGCATCTCCTTAGGGCCTGTGGGTAATATCCTGACAGAACAAAAATAATTTAACCTATTGGAAGATTTTCTAGAAATCAAAAATGGCATACAAGACCAAATTTTACACAAAATGGCTCGCATTCTCAAGTAGATCACCAGTACAAATGTTCCTGTTTTAGTACTGAGATCAAAATGGATCACGACTGCCAAATTTCAAAGATCCAAAAATCAAGCAAAATGTACAGTTGAGTGATTGAAGCAGCACTGGAGAAAGCCAATATAAACTGCCCCACCTAGATTACGGAAAGATTTTAGTTCACGTTTTGCAGAACTGAAGAAATAATACAGGTTCTTAGCAATTTAATGAAATGGTTTTCTCAACTGCTATTTGATACCAAAGATTTTGTGGGGTAGAAAACTCAATTGAAATCTGAATTTCCTAAACAGTAAACATGAAAGATCCTCACCATGGCAAATAAGAACTTCTATTGAACTAACCCAGAATAATATGCCACCAAGAGGTAAAAAAAAGATGCATGCATCTATACTGACACAATATGGAAAGATCATATCACATGAAAACCTCAAAGCAGTATTTGCATAGTTCTACCACTGAGTAACAAAATTTGTAAATAAATGGATGAATTCATGTCACAGATAATGCATTACAGCTCTGATATCCTGTTTTCACGATTTATAGTGGAAACATTATCGGAAGGCATCAATGAACATGGGTGGTATCAACAACATACTGGCTTCTTACAGCAAATTATTGAATTTACACAATGGTGACTGAAAAGAACAGCCACATTTTAATAGTTCTGATTCTCAAACCATTGTTTTTTTCTTTATTCTTTCATGGGATGTGGGCATTGCAGGTAAGCCCAGCATTATTGCTGATCTCCAGTTCTCCTTGAATTGAGTGACTTGCCAGACCATTTCAGAGAGCAAATAAAAGTTAAGCACAGTGCTTTGAGTCTGAAATTAGAGGTCAGACTAGGTAAAGATGACAACAGTCTTTCCCTACAGAACATGAATTAGATGGGCTCTTACAACAGTTTGACACTTTCATGATGACCATCACTCAGACTGGCTCTTATTTCCAGATTTGCTAATGGAGTTTAAATTCCACAAGCTGTCATGGTGGGATTCAAACCTATGTCACCAGATCGTTAATCCAGTGGTCCAGGCTAAGAGTCCAATTACATTACTATTACACCAGGTTCTCTCCATATGTGGTGTGAAAGTAAACAGATTTCTGCAAGGCAGGCTCACATTAGGAGAAAAAGGATTCCACAACTTCTAGCAAACCTGGTTTATACAACTTAAATACTTTAAGTACAACAATTAAGGATTTAAATTCAAGACAAGGATTTCATTAAATAGCAACGCAGTAAGTCTGTTCTTAAAATAGAGCTTTTTCTGAGCACTGAGGTCAAACCTTACCGTAAAGTATTTGCAGGGTGGCACGTGGGGACTTCCCCCTCAAAGAAGGAGTCAATAAATTCTTGAAACAGAACAGGAATAATGTCTCTCTTTTTCTACAGAAAGAAAGATGCTGAAATGATAATTTGCTTTTTATGTATCACAGTATTTCATACTTCATTTACAACAGCCAAACTATTTATAATTCAATAGAAAATACAGCCAAGGAGACAATTTGATTACTTCGCTTAAATTTCACTTTACCAAAGAAGAAAAGGTCTTTTAATGTTTTAAATAATGTCACCAGCCTAAAGAACTAGCTCCAGATTAACAAAATTAAGACCCCATTACAACAACCATGGTTATACAAAATGGTGGAGCAGGCTAATTGGTTCAATGGCCTTGTCATGTTCCTATTTCTTATGATCCTAAACACAATTTGTTTAGCAAATCACCGAATTAGAGGAAATAAGTGGGCAATGGAGAGAAGATTCTGTTCCTACTTCCAAGGAGTTACAAGATATTTCAGCTCCCAGTAGCAATCAAAACTCTGAACTGTCTGGTGCAATACATGGAATCGGTCAGTCTTGCAATATATTCTGTTTGAGAAGGGAAAATTGAAAAACGTAAATACATACCACTGAAATAAAGAACTTGAATGCATAATAGAATAATTGAGCGTTATGGGGGTTCCTTCTAAATGCACAGAGCCACTCATTGGCAGCATCTTCGATTTGTTTTCTCTCTAAATAGAGGTCAGCTAAAGCTTCAGTAAGTTGATAAGCAGCTGGACAGGATTGTAGCAGTGTCTTGCAAAGTTTTTCAGCAGTTTCCCATCTGAAAAATATAATTCCAAAATGTAAGGACCCTGAAATTAACAAGTACCAAACAAGTTACTGTGTTTTAACATTCAATTAAGTAGAACAACTTCAAAGGTGTTGACATTAGACACTGTCGCTAATGTGGGTACAAATTAAATACTCCATTTATACTTCAATGTTACTTGTGAGTTTAAGTAACCATACCTTCCCATTAACTTCAGTACTAAAATCATATTTCTGTAAATTGAAAGACAGGCTGCAATTCTCTCCTCCGTTGAAGGGCAGTCCTCAGAACATGCACGGACAGCATCTAAGCAAATTGTTTAAAAAGAAATCATGAAACCATTGAAATTTTGACTTGTAAATTAACAAGCTGCATTAAAAGATTCAAAACTTATCAACTTCACCTTCAAACAATGCAAGTAATGTGTCAGGATGTGTTTTTATATCTTTTGACGTTTGCCAAGGGATGAGAAATGGCTCCTTCATTACAAGTTTGGAAGGAACGGCTACAGCTGGATCGAAGAACCGGCAAGGCAGAGTGTTGAATTCAATGAGGTGAATATAGGCTAACCAAGCCAGACAGCAGTCATTTGTATTTAAATATCCTGCCACACTTTTGTTACCATCTGAACTTTTCAAAGCATTCTGTAAAACATATGATCAAAAATACGTTAACAATTGTTAATTCATACATTCAACTTGCATCCTTACCTGGTCTGGCCTGGAGGTAATTCCAGACCCACAAAAATTCAGTTGACTCTTAACTGCTTTCTGGGAATTAGGGATAGGTAATATATGCTGTTCTAGCCAGTAATGCTCACATCCCATGCACCAATTTTTAAAAAAGGATTAGAAAACTCTCAAAGAAAATTACCAAGATGCAGATGTCCTATCAGCATAACTCTCAAAATCCTGAAAATTTGAAAATATGGAAGTTTTACTTTTACCACAAAAATGCAAAGTGGTAAATTGAAACGCCCTTACTCAGATTGATTATTACATTTTAATCAATATGCAATTTATGTTGGAAATTTACAAAGCTGATGTCAACTTAAGTGACCTCCTTTATTTTATAAAACATGTGAAAGATTCATCTTAATACTACTTAAGAAATAAAAATTATCTTCAGTTATGAACAGGAAACAAGTTTGAACCATTTGGATATCAAGCTAGACAACTGTTTTCAAATCTACAGATAAAAATAACTGAGTATAAAAATGACACTGCAAGGGATTACTGAACAAGATGAAATGAAAAAAGCTGAAGAAATGCAATGTAAGAGTCAGCAAATTTTGTCTAAAAATGTACAATGGAAGCTAGGTGGTATGGAATGCATGGGAGCAGCTTATGTTCAGAATGTATTTAAAGCAGCAGCTCAATTGGATAGGGACATTAGAAACAGCTGATGAAATACTGAGCCTTATGGCAAGAAGGCTACACAAGAAACGAATCAATATGTAGTGGTAAATTTGTATGCCACGCTGTATCACAATTGGAGGTGGTGCAGAGTTTTGGGCTCCACATTAGAGGGTAAAACAGTTTGAGAGTATTGCGTGCATTAGGAAATATGATTATGAAGACAAATAAAAACTGGAGTACAATGATTTGCTAGAGATGTTTAAAATTATGGAAGGTAAACAAATCGAAGCAAACTACTTGGAGCAAACAATTGGGCTATAATGAAGGGACTGTGTTAAAGGTGCTATGGATTGAACTACTAGAATTTTTGATCAAAGCAAATGCTATAGCAACTTTTGAAAATTTAGGAGGATGATTTTAAAGAATGAGAGCAGGGCAGGCATAAAGATTTAAGCCAACGGTTCAAGGAGAATAAATGCCACACTATTAAGTTGAAACTTTTCAAGTGCATTGGAATTCTGACCATCAACCAGAAATTAGTCATGCATGCATACTCAGCCCACAATGTAGCCACCAATACATGCATGATCAATCTTCACGCCATGCTGGTCAACAGCAGGAGCATCGTTATGGCAAATCCCAATTTCTGCATAGTCCAGGTAGTTCAATCAATAATTAAAGACTCAATCCTAAAGATACTGTTTTTTCCAGCCTTGTGTTGGGAAATTTGTTTGTAATATTTATTAGGCACAATAATAAAACAAGTTTAGTTTTCTGAGAAAGCCTAGCTACTGAAGACTACTTTTCTTTTTAGAAAGTAATACTGTGTGCAAGGACATGATGATACATTTTGATACTGCTCAGTTTTCTGATAGCATCTGCAGAGGTCTAATTAGGAAAGTATTTCAAATGTATCCAAGATGGGAATTTTATTAATAATGACTGGCAAATGAACAGAACATTTTGGAGAAACAGTCAATACTTACAGAATTCTGTTTTACTTTATTTGCAAGTACCTGGATTTAGTTAGCATCTCAATTTAAATTCAGATGCCAGTGTAGTTGAAAATGAGGTGCAGAAATCAGCTGTGATAAAAGTCTCAATTACAATGGCTGACACTGCCTCTGCATGTGCAGGAAATGCTCCCCCTTGTGTTGCAGCATAAATAAATGCAACCTTGAATGCTATAATATCTATGCCAGCACATCCCAAACATTTGACCTCTGTGGCTCTATTTAGAAGCTTGAAAATGATTCTAATTTGTCACTGAGGCCTGTCAGTGTGGAAGGATAGCTGTGCATCTCACCTGGTTGGAGCACCGCAAGCCTAAAATTTCAGCTTGGTGATCCCACTTTGGGCAGCCCTGGTATATGCAATTCCAGAACCTCACGCCTGATCCTGGTCCAGTCAGCGCACAATGGACAATTCATCAGCTGAACAGCAACTTAAAGGTCCAGTGGGCATATCTTCAATTTTATTAGCTAGGAATACCAGGGCCAATTCTAAAGCTACAAAGAGCAATCTGCTAAAAGACTAATACAGTGAGTACATTTAGAAATGAGAAATAATGAATGAATAGTTATCATGGACTTCCAAAGAAAATTTTGTTTGAATACCAAGATTTAACAGAATATATAGTAATGCAGGTGCTATTTAGCTGGATTTTTAAAAGGCTTTTGATGAGATACCCCATAATACATTAATGAATTAGGTTACAGAATGCGAGATCGGGACAAGCAGCAGAATAGACTGCAAGCTGGCTTCAAGGTAGAAATCAGAAGGTGGGTGTAAAAGGTTGACAAAGTTGAAAACGGCGTTCCAAAAGAATCAGTGCTGGGACTCTGTTCTGATGACCATAACACAGGGAAGGTATAGAAGCAATTGAAAGGGTGCAGAGAAAATTTTAGAATGATAAATATATGGAGACACATCAGAAAAACAGAGGTGGGTTTCTCGTCCTTGACAAGAAATGTGATTGAAGGTTCGTAAAATTATGAAAGCACTCAGGAATGAATACAGAGCATGTCTCCTTTTGTAGCCACCCATATAAGATTGTCACCAAGAAATCCAAATAGTAAAAAAACTTCTGAATTTCCCAAGGCAACTAGTAACGTGGAACTCTCAACCACTCCCTGTGGTTGAAGAACATACAGACACTTTTCAGAGGAAACCGAAGATTTGAGCGAATGGGAATAAATGGTTACAATGCGATTTAGAAGAGAAAAATTGGAAGATTAAGAAAAATTGAGAGGACGCTTGAATTGTATAACGTAGTGTGGACTGGTTGGGCCAAACGGTTTATTGTTATTTCATCTATTTCATGTAATCCTATGTAAGCTGACTAACTTTAAACCAAGTTTCAAAAAACATTCATAGTATCTTATTAATAAAAAGGTAGGAGTGCCTGATAATCTAAACAGACAATTATAAAACCAAAACGAACTAAAATCATTTACATAACTATATGGAATCTCTTTTTTTTTTATAAAAGTAGCAACATTCCATAAAAAGAACTGAAGTGGCTAATAAATCTATTTTGGTACATTAAACCAACTCCCAATTCTTCAGTGCCCAAAGGTTATTCAACATACACCTGAACCATTTGGACCAAGGCAAGCAGTTTTGGCCAATTTTCCACAAAGGATTTGGAAATGAATCTCAGATGTAAATTCTCTTTACAGCTATCCGGTGCAGCTTGAAACGAAGAAGAATTCATTTGTTAATGAGCCATACAGATGGCTAGACAGACAATTTTGGGGAATATTGCTACTCTCAGAATGATTCCAATTGAAACAGACCGTCAGGATGGGTCCCATTTATTGTGAAAACTGCAAGAAATAGTTTCTAGAGCTCACACTTTAAGGTAGACAGTTTTACGATAGGGCTGGAATCCTGAAGGAAAAGGTAATCAGAACCATAGCCTCCTTCCACCCAATGACCATGGAGGAAAAGGGACAATTTCAATACATTAGTCGAAGTAGGTATGAAAGTGGAATCTGGCATATAAAGGAAAATGTGAAAAATCGAAAGTTGATCAGAACCAGGAGTCTATCCCAGAAACGTTAAATTAGCAAGCTAATAACTTTTACTTCATTTCCATCCAAAGGACTAGAGACCTAACATCCAGTTCAAGTCAGAACTGAAAAATGTATTATTAAATACTGGGTATCTGAGGAATAGCACTAAATAAGAGACAACCAAATCTCTGACCAGGGTTTCCAGCACTACCAAACCAGAGCTAACACCCAAGACAAGCTTGCAATGTGTCACACCATGATTCAAGTCTGCAAGAATGGACGATTAGATCTGTCAATAATTGTAACCATGAAGGCCAGTATAGATGAGAATTGTTCCAATATCTCAAATTCCTAATACAAACAATCTTGGATTCTCAATTCAGAATTATATCAAAGAGAAATACCCAAAGGTAATCTCTTTCAAACCTGCTGACTCATTTAATTTCAAAAAAGACATCAAGTGAGAAAGCAAGAAATAACTGGAAATAGAAATCAGGCTCCCCGGGTCAGTGGGCCATATGGCCTACACCCATAGCTGGGATAATGCTGCTCAAGAGTATCTAGGAATCAAGGACCCTCTAATGGCAGCAGTATGATGAGGACAGTGCAAATGTACTCAGGGCTTATGAAATCATTACACCATCAAGGCAGCTCAAAATCTGGAACCCAACCATAATTAATGTACAGATGAACATTATCTGATGCTTTTATTTATTCACGGATGTGGGTGTCGTTGCCTGGGCCAGCAATTATTGCCCATCCCTAGCTCCTAGGTGGTGATCATAAACTGCCTTCTCAAATCACTGCAGTCCATTTGTTGTAGGACAATGCCACCATGGAGGGATTTCTAGTATTGTGACCCAACAACGTGAAGGAATGGCAATATATTTCCAAGTCATAATGGTGAGTGGCTTGGAGGGGATCTTGCTAGTGGTGGTATCTGCTGCCCTTGCCCTTCTAGATGTTAGGGACCATGAGCTTGGAAGGTGTTATGTAAGGAGTCTTGGCGAACTTCTACAGTGCATCTTGTAAATGGTACCTATTGTTGTTACTGAGCATTGATGGTAGAGGGAGTGGATGTTTGCAAATATGGTTCAATCAAATGGGCTGCTTTGTCCTGGATGGTGTTATGCTTCTTGGGCATAGTTGGAGCAGCATCCATCCGTGAAAGTGGGGTGATTTCTGACAGTTGTGCATTGTAGATAGTGGACAAGTTCTGGGTGAGTCAGGAGGGGAGTTACTTGCTGCAGGATACCTAGCCTCTGACTTTTTGTA